TTAACATATTTACACCACAGCACAGATAACTGTATCACTTCTTCATTAAAAAATAATAATTAAAAAAAAAGGATAAACTTGAAAAAACAGAGTTCAACTAAATAATTTTAAAAGGGGATATAATTGAGATACCATAAATTATGAGGCAAACTGCAGCAGAACCTTAAAAGGAGTATTTATTTTGTATAATAACTCCTGGTAAGAATGGGAGGGAAACAGCAAGCAATATCTTAACTCATCAATGGAATGCTTTGCTACATTACTGGTGAGGCTGTGGAGCTCCTCCCTTCCCATCAGAGGGCAGCAGCTGCCTGCGAGAACTGCCACTTCCCTCCATCGTAGCTATAATGCTACCTTTGTAAACCATCTGATAAGCAAAATAATTGTGACTTTGGTTTAATGATCATCATTTGTAGAATCTTCAATCATTTACACTTAAATAACTTTCATAATGTCTGACTATGTGCTGCTTATGTTGTATTCAAGACACTATTTTTTATGATGCAGCATGACAGTAACCTCCTTCGGCAATGCAACTCACAATAATGTACCTAAGGAATACAGTCCAATCTTTCCAACACATTACCAAATGATCAGGTAATAGAAAATGATCTGTTGGCTTTATTAAAGTTAAAAATATATCTGTTCTTAAAGAGTTCCTTTGGGATGATTCACAGATCCATGTTTTTCTCTAAAACATGTCAGAGAGGCGCTAGGGACAAGCAAGTGTAAGGCCGGACAAGCATGTTTCTGCTCAGTGTTCAGACAGTAGGACTCTGCTTAAACAGAGAGTCTTCATAATGATGTGATACAGCAGGAGTCTTAAGCATGTACCTAATTTTATTTACTTTAAAACATGTGCTCAGTGTCAGGCAACCAGCAAATTCTTCCTGAGTTAGGATGGAAGCACACATTTCAATAACATCTTCCAACTAAGTTCAGTGCTTTATTTAGATCAGGTGCTTTAAATTGTAAAACCAACTCTCTGCATTAAAAAAACCCCATCTGCATAAACCTGAAAGGGACCAGAGGGAGCCACAGTACCTCTTTCACAAAAGGTTCCTGTCCAGCCTGCTGTGCAAGTACAGGCTCCACTCACATGGTCGCAGGCAGCTCCATTCTGGCACTGACAGCTGTGCTCACAGCTTGGGCCAAAGCTTCCCTCAGGGCACCCTGCAGCAAAGGAATCAAAACCAGATGACAGGTTAATTCTGGAGCAGATCAGGGATCAATGGGGAATTTTTAGATACATGGGAATTCTTACTATTTCCAAAAGAAGAATCCAGGCATAATGGTAATGCCTTAAAACTGATGTGATTGAGTGTTCTCCTTGAGGTCCAGGTAAGTTGGGCTGTTCTTATTAAGCTCTATTTTAGAAAAACACCAGAGTGTTGAAAGTTTAAATTCTGCACAGAAAATTAATATCATCTGATAGTTGCAAAGCCTGTGACTTCCTCAGTTCGTTTTTATGACACTTTGCACACTGGTCTGGAGTTGCGTATGTGCACGTATCTTCTGGAACTTCTTCAGTCAGGAGGGGGGAAGCTCCCAGCTTCTGTACCTCCCTTTGAGGCCCTGACCTCTGTTTTTCTGCAAATCCTCTTTCCCCAGAGATCTGGAGAAAATATGAATTGTGGTGGATTCCTTCAGAAAGCTCCAAACTGAATGCTGCGTACTTTACTTTCAGGCTTTCCTTTGAAAAATTCAAGCAAAGCATTACATCTGGAGGACAGATTAACAATTATATTTCCACAGCAGTAATGTAAGGAGTTTTAAAAGATTTGCATGGTACTCACTATTGGAAGAAATAAAACAGCACTTGAGAATGAAAATAATTTCTTCCAGGATTATAGGAAAATCAATTAAGAACAGGGCCAGTTGCATAATTCATGTTAGGTATTTTGGACAGGCTGAAATATAGATATATACTTGGCTAAACACAATATTATAGGGCCTTTACTCATGTTCGAAGGTTTTGTGAACTCCTTTCTAAATGAGTTACATAGATTATTGCCAGATTTCTTTAAAAGTGTATGATTTTAGCATTTACATCAACAAAGTGATTTTTCAGGCAATCTGGAAAGAATCACAGAGAACAGAGAACAAGAAGGATCCTCAAAGACAACTCTATATCTGGAATAAAGGGATGGGTTTGGTGTTGCCTATTTCGTGCCATAGGCAAGCAGTGATCGGAGCCAGCATGAATTCAATTGCTCCTGCAGCTTAGTGACTCTCAACTAACTTATGTCAGCCCCTGGGTCTCTTATAGGGGTTATAGGCTGGGATGGGAGACAGGATAGCAAAGTGCCTTGAGTACCACTTTGCTTTCAGTCATCTGTGTCAGAAAATGGGCTGTTTCCTAAATGTGGACTTGTTTGAATATGGTTTTTGCACTTGCAGGTGAAATTCAGTGCAAGGATGGAACCAATGCAAAACCCCATTTGCATCACCTCCTATTCCCAGAGCTTCAGGTCATCAGGCATCATGCTCCCTACGCTAGTTTAATGAGTAAATAGATAGGAGTGCACTTGTGCCTTAAAAGCTTCATCCTGCTCAGTGTTTACTTTTCACTTGAAATTTCAGACAGAACCCAGAGAATCTATGCAAGGAAAATAGTATTTCAGTGCAGTAATAGGGGTGGGGCTCTCAGCTGAGCTTTCTTCAAACCTACAGGGTTTAGCCTTGAGATGAGACTTTCAAGGTAACAGCAGTGAGTCAGCACACTTCACAGATGATTTTGCAGTCCACATTACAGAGAATCTGCCCCCTGCTTGAGCAGGCATGGGCTGCTGCAGTGCAGAGATACATCCACTCCACTGGAGAACCTGAGCTGCCTGCAGAGACACAAAGAGTTCAAGCTGCAGCAAGAAGCTAGAGATGCCTCAGGGGGAAAGGAGCTGTCCAGGGACAGTAAAGATCTTGCCTCGAAGGCAGCATAAAATGTTTAGGGAAGAATTATGCCTTTCATAATCTTGCACACACACATATATGTATTTTTACATATATATATATGTATGTATACACACACACAACTAAAGTGGGGTAAAAAGAGACAGAATGTTAGGGGTCGCCAGATGTTTTATTGGTGGCAATGGCTTCACTGCTTACCTTGCCAGAGAAGATTACAACCAGCTCTTTGGCTACCTTCTGCCTGCAGGGATGCTATTTTGAGAGAGGTCAAGAGTGAAAGAAGTGGAGCTGGCACCTTTTTCTCCGGGAGCTGGTCTTCCCAACTAACTCTCCTTCCACTCCCTCTGTGCCAACAACAGGCACGGTAAGATCAACTTTCCAGGGTTTGTCTTAGGTCACTGTTCCAGATAAATTATTTTGACATTTCTGTATGACACCAGCAGTTAATTCTGCCTACACTACTGAGACCCTGGCAGTTATGTATATGCTACTGTAAGACTGTTAAACTGATAGGATATTTATTTTATTTAACAACTTAATAATAATAGCCTAACTATGCAACTTATTGCCGCAAGATGAAGTAGATACCAAATGTCTGCATGGAATCAAAAAGGAAATAAGCACATTAATTGGAAAAAAATCCTTAAGTAGTATGAAATATAGAGATATTGCTTCTGTCTCAAGGAGCTCCTGAGTGACAAATTGATGAAATCTGGTGTCCTGGGTTTAGCTGTAAGAGTTCTTTTTCTCCTTCCTAGTAGCTGGTGCAGTGCTGTGTTTTGGCTGTAGTCTGAGAACAATGCTGATAACACACTGATGTTTTAGTTATTGCTCAGTAATGCTTATCCCAATCAAGGACTTTTCAGTCTCATGCTCTGCCAGGGAGGAGGGGAAGTTGGGATGAAGCAGAGACAGGACACCTGACCCAAACTGGCCAAAGGGGTATTCCATACCACAGCACGTCATGCCCAGTATATAAACAGGGGGGAGTAACCCAGAAGGGCAGATTACCGCTCAAGTCAGGCTGGGTGTCAGTCAGTGGGTGGTGAGCAATTGTATTGTGCATCACTTGTGTTTTACTGTTGGTGTTTTCCTTTTCCCTTTTAGTTTTATATTCTCTCCCCTTGTTATTTTCCTTATTATTATTAGTAGTAGCAGTAGTAGTTTTATACTATACTTTAGTTATTGGGCTGTTCTTACCTTAACCCATGGGGTTTATATTCCTCCAATTCTCCTCCCCATCCTGCCTAGAGAAGTAGAGGGAAAGGCGGAGTGAGCGAGTGACTGCATGGTTCTGAGTTACCAGCTGGGCTTAAACCACAACAGTCCTTTGTGGTGCCCTGCATGCAGCATGAAGGGTTGAGATAATGACAGATCTGACCAGAGTGTGTCTAATCGTATTTGTGATAAGCATTCATTGTTTTGGATTAATAGTCACTCGCCATAATATTGATTTATTTGCTCTTGGAGTTGTTGCACTTGGTCTCACAGTTTCTTTATGTCACACCTTAGTTGCAGCCAGCATTTACTGTTTTAGTGTTTATGGGCTTTGGAGCCTGGGCTAAGGTTCTCCTTTTGCTGTACTTTATGATAATGGCTTGTGATACGATAGAATTACTGATCACGAAACTGATCTGGTATGTGTTCTCAGCATTGCCATCACCTCTATAATTTGGGAGCATGTAATGTGAATTATTAATAATTACACTTCTTTTTTTCCTCCCTTGGAGGGCCAACCTATAGAGGAGACATCCTCTTGCACCTTCCCCTCCCCCATCAGGGGTGAATATCCTTTGAGTATCCTTGAAACCAGCCTGCTCCTTTCACTGGGAACCATCACTTTGTTGAATATGGTTCATGTGTTGTCTAAGGTTAAACAACTATCTAAGAATACCACCAAGAGATTTTCCCCGACGCTGGACAGTCATGAGTGGCAGGGTGTGTGGGACAGTATGGGCAAGTATCTAGGCCAGTGGGCCCCTCCAGTGCTTTGGAACTTCACCACTGAACAAGTGCAAAATCCAGAAAAACTAGTAAAACACTTAAAAAAGGCATGCTGCCATCCTGGCAATACCAGGGAGATACAAATAACTGCAATGTGCTGCGGCTTGGCCTGTGCCTAACGAGTCCCTCTGCACATACCCTCAGTCAGAAAAGGATGTCTCTGGATCTGATGGCAAAGCAACAGATGCCACGGCTACTCCATCCCTAACAGCAAGCACAGCAGCTATCCCAATCCCACCAACAAGCACAGCAACTACTCCAACTCTGACAACAGGTGTTGCAGCCACTCCAATCACAGTGAAAGACACTGCAGTCACTGCAACCCCAGTAGCACGCACTGCAGCTGAACCAAAGGACCAATCTGTGCTGCTATCAGTTGCCCCTTTATGCAAGAGGAAATGGAAACAAAAAGCAGCTTGTGTAGCGAAGGAAGATGAAGACTTCATGCCAGAACTAGAGGGGGCAACACCAGAATGAGAGGAATCAGTATCAGGAAGAGGCAGAACAAGAGGTAATTTCTTGATCTCTGTCCTTGACTGAGCTGTAGAATATATGAAAAGATTTCAGCCATCTTCCAGGGGAGCACATCATCACCTGGATACTCTGATGCTGGGACTATGGGGCCAACAGTCACGAACTAGAGGGTAAGGAAGCCAAGAAGCTGGGATCACTTGCTAGGGAAGGGGGAACTGACAAAGTGACTGCAAAAGAAAAACGAATCCTTAGCCTCTGGAGGCAGCTCTTGTTGGCTGTGAAAGAAAGGCATCCTTACAAGGTAGATGTTATAAGTTGCCCAGGCAAGTGGACCGTGATAGAGAAAGGCCTCCACTACCTGAGGAAATTAGCCATTCTAAAGAGGATCTATTGTAAGTCAGACGATACACCCATAGATCCAGATGAAGTTGAGTGTACACAACCCATGTGGTGGAAATCTACACAGAGTGCGCCATCATTATATGCCAACTCATTGGAAACAATGAGCTGGATGGATGCAGCATCACCAACAGTAGATGAAGTGAATTGTTAGCTCCATGAGTTTGAAGACAATCTCTCCACCTCCATCATTCCAGCTGCGGAAAAACTCCTGTCTAGGAGTTCAAGCAATTGAGAGACAATATATCCAGCTCCCCACGTGTAGAGACCCACATCTCAGCTATTAACAGTAAGCGCCCTTTTGCTCAAGAGGGAAGATATAGGAGATACACACCATGGGGCACCCTGTGGTTTTACCTGTGGGATCATGGAGAAGACATGAGAAAGTGGGATGGAAAACCCACCTCAGTTCTGGAGGAATGGGTATATGAATTGCAAAGAAAAACAACAGTGAATGGGGATCCTCCAAAGGAAGTTGCTGTTCCAGACTGGTGGGAAGTTTCCCAGATGGAATGAAAGAGCTGATTTTACTCTGACTCCTATGAAAAGGAATTCTAATCCCTTTGTACAAGAAGTAAGTGAAGAATCTTAAGATCACTATTACAAGGGCCCTGTCTCCAGCCAGGTGGAGGAGAGGGACAATCGGGTTTACTGGACTGTGTGGATCAGATGGCCTGGCACATCAGTCCCACAGGAGTATAAGGCTCTAGTAGATACCGGTGCACAGTGTACCCTGATGCCATCAAGCTATCATGGGGTAGAAGCATGACACCTGGGGAAACATATCAGGAATTACCTATATTATAGATATTTATATCTATATGTTTTTATCCTCTTAAGGCACCTGCTATTGGCCTCTGCTAGAGATAGATTAGTGGAGATTATTGGCCTCTGGTAAGACCATTGTGCATTTTTTTTGTTGATAAATAGGGGACCCTAAATCTTCCTGATTTTGCTTCTGTAATGTACATGTGAAACATTTCTATATGCCTGGCCTTAAAAATAGATTTACAAAGAAATAGTGCAGACCTAAAACCAGATAAAACCAATATGGAAACTTTTATAGCACAAGCCAAATATATAACACACCTATCACTCACACAAGGTCTTAACATTAAAAATAGCTGTTGAGTCCAAAACAAGTCTGAACATAACTTTTCTGGAATCCAAATTAGGGAAACTATCTAACCCAAATGAAACCTGAGAGCCCTGTGACGTGCTGGGCAGACCGGAGGCAGCACAGCCTGGAGGGAATTATCAGGAAAACCACAATTTCCGTTGCTTGGTTTTGCGAATTCCCTATGTTGACAAAGTGGCAACTTACTCCATTCACAGTGTTTCCCAGTGAATCCTGGCTCACAGAAGCAGGAGCCAGTGACTGGATCACAGCTACCATCGCTATTATTGCAGACACACGTGTTTTCACAGCTCTGTCCCCAGTGGCCACTACTGCAGGCTGCAATGTAAAAAGATATTTACATTGAGAATCAATTTTAAGCTTGCCTAATGGATTATTTTACATTTAAATGAGAATGGAAAAATGCAGAATGACCCCCTTAAGATGCAGGAGCTCTGGACTAGACTCTTCAGTGCAGCATGGGGCACAAATTGATGAAAATAAATACATTTTTGCCTATTTGTTTCAGCTGAAAGTAGGCAGATACTATGCTATCCACAAAAAATTAATCATTCATAGCCAATCCATATCAATCATTCCACAGTCACAAACGCATAATTTCATGGAAATAAAATATCAGCTATTGACTCACTTCACAAAAATCTGCATAATCAGAATAGCGAATGGGTAAAACAAGACAGATTTGTGAGTATCCTCCATATTTTCCTCAAAAATACTGGGAAATGCAACAAGGACACAGAGAAATCTCACAATCTTTATTAAAGCAACTTCCTGCTCTCATTCTAAAAATCACCTAACACTGACAGGATTATGACAATGTACCATAGCACCTCCTTCCATTCTTGCAAGGATAAGGACGAAAGTGCCAATTAAGTCAACAGAAACCTAGTTCTGGAGTCGGGCATCCATTTCATGCCCAGTCTGCAATAGTTGGTAGCACTGCCTTACTGAGACACCTCTGCAAAACAACTTTTCTCATATCTTATCCTGAATAGAAATAAAAGCTTTTCTTTGCCATGGTTTCTTAATTCTTTACACAGCCTAGGGAGTCATGGAAAGCTATCCAAATGACTCTACATGTTACCAACTGATTTGATTTTTAAAATACGTATATTGGTGGAAACTACAGATTTTCCCAGAGTTTTCTTCAGTACCGAGCCTGAGAAGCCAGGTCCAAAGCTTTCTTCTGTCAACAGTGGCAATTAATTTCCATGATTTTATGTGTTTAAGACCAAGTTTAGAAAGAGGTTTGCATTCTGCTGGCTTTTTGCAAGAGGGATTGTAACGAATTAAGCAGAAAAGACATGAAACAGGAAAAGGAAAGAATCAAGCAGGATCACTTAACATTTATATGATGCTATCTAAAAAGGGCAAATCTGCACTTTTATATGGCCATCAATATGGAAAGTGATGCTAAAGTCAACAGAAGGATGCTCTGCTCTTCCAGGGAACAGAATTTCCCCCAGCATTTACATTCACAAGTTAAGAAATGACCTTAAGACACGCAACTGTACATGCCGCTCACTTGTTGAATAAATCTCTAAACAAAATGAAAATTTGAGACTTAATCTTGAAACTAATCTGTGCTGAAAATTAAAACCAAAACTGTCAGTCAAAATGCTGTCAGGGCAGATGGTATTGGGCAAAGGGATCCATAGCGTTGAAATAAGAAGTTATATCAACACTTCGTGCTTCATCAGCCATCTATTTCAATACTGTGAACCTAGATAATTAAGGATTATAACCACCCAGGCTGTGCAAACCCATAAACACACAATTTCAGAAGCAATAAGATTAGCAAAAGTATATTAAAAAACTGTAGTAGACTAAGAACAAACAGAGCTGGTTCTTACATTTGAAGTTCAGTCCCTGGGAGATATCATGTACCCTGTGAAGCAAATATGCATTTGACTTACGGTGTTTGCAGTCATGGCCAGTCCAGCCAGGGGAACACATACACTCTCCGGTGACATGGTAACATTGAGCGCTGCTGCTACAGCTGCACAACAGCAGGCAATTTTGTCCATAGTAACCATTGGGGCAGGCTGAAAACAGATGCACCTAGGTAGTAACTCAGGCATAGACTGATCTTTTCAAACAGGATGGCAACAGCTTGCCCCTAAAACACGTATTTGCTGAATCCAGAAATCAAAATGGAAAAAATAAACATCTGTAATTTTTATACGAGATGTCTGGGGCCAAGTCCTGCAAAGCGGGAATAGCTTGAGTGACTTTCAGGTACTTCTGCACACCAGGATCAGTCAGAGGAGGAAAAAGAGTGCTAAGCAAACCTTCATCAAAAGTGAATTTTGACGAACAAGGAGAAAAAACATACCACCACACAGGTCTTGCATGAAGCAGTGCTGTCCCTGAGAGCCTGTCTACGCCACCATGACAACCATACTCAAAGTAGCTTTTAATACCCAGGGACTCGATAAGGAGCCATACCGCAGTAGCACAGACCACTTGTGTGAGCATATTCCCATATTCTCTGGTCAATCTGCAGAGAGCGCACTGATAGAACTATTATTTAATCCTGAAGTATATACATCAAGGAGTGTTGCTGCTGTATGGGCCAATTAGTCAGCACCTCTTGCCAAGCAACCAGGATTGCAACACAAGTATTGTGCCTATTAAACATTGTCTTTCTAAGGACATATTGCCGTAAATTAGGTCTAATGATAACATCAATTTGAGATGCAGTTTAGCTGGTCATTTGCATTTATCTGTACTCTCTTTCTGGTAAATATTGTCAAATTCAACCTGGAGAATTCCTGAAGCCAAAAGGTATTTTATTTTGGATCAGTGTATCTAACATAACAAGCACCTCACAAAAGAGCAAGAATGTAGAAATCAAACCACAGATTGATCGTCTTTTCATGACAACCGCCAGTGTGAGAACTTACATGTGGAACAGGATTCCCCACTGTAGCCTGGGGGACAGTCACAGGCTCCAGTCTCTCTGTTGCATTGTCCCCCATTGGCACAGGGCTCACAGGAGGACTTGCAGTCTGGTCCCCACTGACCAGCTGGGCAATCTAGATAAAAAAAGCACATGACATGTCCCCAGTGCCATTTTTTGTTTCAAGGAAGTTACAGATACCTGCCATTATCTTGAAGAATTTAAAAATATTAGTAAAATTAAGCGAGATAAAGGATTGTTGTATCATCTCTACAGACCTACAGTGCTGTCTCAGCAAACCTGAGAGTCAACAGGCCTCTGTAATGCAGCACATGAGAACACTTCTAAAAAGAGACCCAAAGGCTCTCTTCCAACTTCTACTGTGGTGTGCCTGTGAGGTGGAGCCCAGGTCTCCATACAAGTCCACCTCCTTCATCAGGTTCCTGCAGTGGTGAGCCACAACGTGGGTCCAGTCAGGGTAGATGCTCCTCAGGCATGCAACAGCTAGAGGTCTGCAAGTGGTAGAGGGGCAAACCATGGTACCTTAGTAGTTTAGTATCCTTAAGACTTTTTTCAGCCCTTTACTTAGTCACCCACATTAATGCTCTCTTTTTTAATTCCTTCCTCTGTTCACTTGCTGTTTCCACAATAGTTGTCTTTGGCCAAGGGCCTTCAACAGTTGCTGAGGAACATTGGGTGCATATGGCAGCACAGTTCCAAGTTCTGCTCTGAGACTCAGAGGTGTTGCAATGCCCCAGTATCTCTGCCCAATGTGCATGAACGCAGCCCAACATACAAATCACTATTATTAATTGGAGCAGAGGGGTGGGTCAGGGTAACTGAATCATGTTCCCTCCTCATGTGTTCTGTACCAAGACTTATCCTTTACCCATTCTGCAAATGAAACATATTGCATTTCAGCAGGTTTGGTGGGAAACAGAGCAATTCCAATTCTTCTCATGTCTTCCAAAGAAAGACTCTTACTATCCCAGTCTAACATCTAACACACCTTGCTCACATGTAGCACCGGTCTTCCCAGCTGGGCAAATACACTGCCCTGTCTTCGGATTGCACGGTGCTTCTCCGCAGCTGCACCTCTGCCTGCAGTTCACCCCAAAGCTCCCAGGCTGACAGGCTGGTCAAAAGAACCCCAAACACACAGTGTAAGGAAGCATTTCAAAGACATTAGGAGGCACCACTAGCAGCAATTTCAAACTGAACTATGCTGGTACAAACTGATCAATGTTAGCATCAGTGTCTCATCAACTGGTGGTCTGTAGTCAACTGCAGCAGAGCTCTAGAAAGTCTGCCCCTGAAGCCTGAAAAGGAACCACAGTTACCTGGACAAACGTTTATATTTTAGTAATTGGCCTCAGCCTTGTGCCTCGACCCTTGCAAGCAGGGAGACACGGTAGTTGCCGGGCTCCAAGTATTAGTTTGGCTTCAAGTGAGGAACTGCCAACCTGTACCAACAACAAATGAACCCTTTTATTTGCAACTTCTATATCTGAACATAAGTTTCCTGTGTAAGTTTTCCCATCCCAAGTGTACCTCCCAGGAAAACATATGGTGAGTACCTACATAAATGGCATTTTTCTCCATGAAACCCAGGTGGACATGGATGTTGGCAGGCTCCTGTCTCATGATGACACAAAACATCAGTAGGACAGTTGCACCTCAGTTTACAACCAGCCCCATAAAATCCAGGCGTGCACTCTGGAACATGCAAGTAGACACAAAACATATATAAGAAAAAGGAAAATTTAAGAAAACTGAACAGAAGTCAGAAAATAATTTAGCATAAATTTGCAGAAAATACATTATAATATACATTTTAGAGGGGCTGATAATGAAGCATAAATACTTATTAAGTATTTGTGTGGACATTTCAAACAGGTTACAGCTTAAATACAACCCAGAAACAGAATGGCAGAGTACTTAAGTACATATTCAATTACAGCCATTACAGAATTACTCTTCTTATCTGTCTGTACCTTCTGCTGCTCTCTGCCTTGGTGCAAAGCCAGTGTAGGATGGTCTCCCTCAGAACTGAGCACATCACCAAGAATGCTAAAGATATTAAATATCACCACTATTATTCTCCACCAACCTCCTCCCAAGAACTAGTGTCATAAATCTGACACATTCCTGCCTGCCCAGAGAGGAATCTGAAGGAAGAATCTTTATTGTGTTACTCCATTACTGTCTGGAGAGGGCTACTGAGACATGCAAACACAAATGTGGAATACAATTCTCTTTGAACTTCCCCCAAAAACTACAAAGAGTAAGTTGAATTCAAAGACCCACAACCCTGAACTAGCATTACTGAAACTGTTAACAAATAACCCTGCTGCCATAAAACACAGGTTTTGCCACTTATGTACTGTCTGTGCAGAAACAGGAAAGAACAAAAGTGGTAACTCCCACAGTCTTCATTATTTAGGGTTGTATTAGAATTTGGCCTCTAGAATTCTGTTGTCATTTGCTCCTGTATTCTTAAGCTGTACTCTCCTTGATGTCCCTGTAAGCCCTGTGATAGAAGGCACTCCTGGCATTTGATGTATGAAAAACCACAGACAAAATAATTAGTAGAATATGAGTATCAGTAGCAGCAGCAGCTGAACAAAGCAAATGAGAAATAATGCTGTGACAAAGGAATAAGCAGACATAGGGAATCTGGCTTTCTATTGTACCTTTCTGACACTTTTTGCCATGATAACCAGGCTTGCAGGTGCAAGTCCCATTCCTCGCGTTGCATTCCAGCGTGTGCTCTTTCATGCATTGACACTCCTCTGAGCAGCCAGCTCCGAAGGCCCACCTGGGACAGGCTGCAGCCAGTTAAAAAGGAATCATTAGCTCTGTAATTATGCATGAGTTATTTGAAATTGCATACTGCTGCAGAATGCAACTGCTGCAAAAAGCAGAACGTTCATTTTACTTTCAGCACATCCACATTCCTATGATGGTGCCTCTTAATGTGTGGGTGTGTAAAATATAGTTTACATGACTCCTATATTAAGTAATTAATTTCATTTCAAGCAATATGTGGTGAATGAAAGAAACAAATATTTCAAAGAAAACTTAGTTAAGTTTCTGAATGAAAAAAAAAAGTATATTTGGATACAGTCCAAGACAAAATCTTCTTTTAAAAAAAAAACAAAACCAAACAAAAAAACCCCCGAAAATCACACAACTAATCTTGCATAGATTTACAAACAAAAGCTGTAAGCTATTTTTCAATATTTTTGTTTTGATTCTTTGCATCCTCATTTGACATTTCACCCTCCTCCTGCCCCAGTCAGCCCCACTCCTCAGCTCCCACTCTGGTGTTATTGGCAGCCACTAACTAACTCCAACCGGACTTCAGCTTCACCAACAAACCTAGCATTAACCTGCCCAATCCAAACCAGCCCTACCTATAGTCCTTATCTTTGCACATAAGTAAATCTCAGTCCTTATGGCCAAGATCAATTGCTAGAGAAAAAGATTAATGAGATTTCTGGGGCTTCCCAGCATGCATCTAGAGTCACATCCTCCTGCTACTCCCAGCTCATCAGAGAACCCAAAGCCTCACTCATTTTGTACATGATGTGGAGCCTTTTAAAGACCATTATGTTATGCATATGTTAAACAGATCTGAAAAATTACAGAAACTTACTAAGATGGCAGAAGCGCCCATAGAGCCCCGGATCACAGAGGCAGGCTCCATAGAGTCTGTGGCAATAGCCCTTGTTGGCACAGCTGCATGGTTTATTACAGTTCTTCCCAAAGAAGCCTTTCGGGCAACCTTTTAAGCGCACAAACACAGCAAGGCATCAGTTGTTAAGTGTTAAAAGATAAACACCAAATCAGCTCTCTTTTAGTTGGCGCTAAAGAAAAGACCAGGTTGACTTGTTGCTGACCTGGGGCTTGGGAGCCCATCCTCACAAGGCACATGCTTTTACTCATCCTCTGTCTTGCTTATTATTTAAACAAAAGTCACTGCACGACAAGCCGCAGGGTTATGTCTCGCACAATGGAGACTGTTCTCATTAGGGCCACTAAGGTTTACCACACACAATTACATCTAGATAGAAACAAAGGGAAAGAAATGGTGAGGTTTCAGGCAAGGCAAGGGGAGCCATACCATCTTCACAGAGCTTGCCGTGCACACCAGGCGGGCAGTGGCACTGCCCTGTGACAGGGTCACACGAGCCTCTGTTCTGGCACTTGCAAATACTGGAACAGCCTCTGCCGTACGTCCCTGGGGAGCAAGCTGTGGAGAAAGCAGGGAAGATGAATGGGCCAAGAAATCCTATCCCTTTACAAAACAAGACTCCAGTCATCAAAACTGAGCAAGGAGAGTCCTTTTAGTCAAGCGGGCTCTAATCAAAGTCATATTCTTTCTATATAAGGTAATGCACATGTGTCTGATATTTACTAGATAATTTTAAAAAGACACCTGAATTAAGCTGACTAACATGAAGTACTATGTGATGTATTCAAATTCTCCACCGCATACGCTCCTCTCCACACAATGCACAGGGCTCAAAAAACATTGCTTGTTAAGTACAAAGCTTAAAAATCAGAGCGCATTCTTGAATATTTGGAGGTAGGTATTTTAAACATTCCCCCCCCCCAATACTATTATAAAAATAATTTTGTGTTTTTCTAACATAGTTTCTGAAATTGCCCAGATGATCATGGCAGACAATGGATACACAACAGGATTCCTTACTGTCATCGCTTCAGGACAAAACAAATTGTGAAATGAAGCCTTGATCCACTGATTACAGCCTGAGCTAGCTGAGTAAATACAGTTGCTGGAGTCATCTGACTTAACTGACATTTTATCAATGTACATTAAGAAACTTGACATTTCACATCAGTTTCCATTCAGTTTCTTTGGTGCATTATTACCAAAATTTAGTTTCAGTTTTCTCAACTGTTTATCTCACCCTAAACCCATTAACTATGCTGTACATTAAGAAAAAAAAAAATAGAAAAGAGTGAAAGCAATCACATATGAATAAATCATAGATCATATATTGTATTTATCCTTGTCAATGACTACTTCATTGGGTTGTAGGTTTGGCTCAGCAATGCATTAAATGCACCCCATTAAAGTTCTTTAAATTCTAGAGATGATTTCCACCAGATTACATGCATGGATATCTACTGTAAATATAGAGCAAAAATGTTACTATTATTTATGAAGTGAACTAAAGAATTTGGATGCTCTCTGGAAGTTTTTATGACCTGTCCTGAACCACTAGAGCACCATAAAAAGAAGTAAGAATAACCTAACTGATCTAGTCTTAGATAGACTAGAAATTATCATTTTAATTCTCTTCATTCCTATTCTCTCAGATGTCCCCAGTGTTAACAAACCTAACCCAGGATCAGCCTCCCAAAATAACTATGGGCAGACTGTTGGTTTCAATAATTTGCCTTTTTTGCTGTATTTCTGTCCTTGTGATGATGTCTCCTAAACAATCTTGATTATATTAACCTGAACATTGATGTCTACTGATGCTAAGTAATAATCCTTCACCAACTCTGTCTCACCAGTGACAGAACAGACTTTCTGAGTATGATGGGCCATCATGCCACACACCATGAAACAGAGGGGTGCATCTCAAACACACAGGAGACCTGCTTTATGAAGTCTCAGACAAGCAACAGACAAGTTTTGCCAAACTACAAAGAACAGTGCACAGTACATCAAGAAATCACCACTCTATGGTTCCAGTTGGTTTTGACACAGACTTCTGAACCAGAAAGATTCTCTGCCAGGGAGCAGGAATAAGGAGGGTAAAAAGCTATTACAAAGGGCACTGTTTGACTTCGTAAGAGAATTCTGAAATATAAGATTTCCAGTATTAAAAACTAAGCATCATAAGAAAATGATAGTAATGAGAAAAAGAATTATAAGGATAAAAGTTTACCAACACAAGTTTAAAAAATTAAAAAGGCAATGTCTTCAAATGTCACAATGGAAAAAAAATCCAGGTTGGTACACATGTCCACCCAGACTGTCACACCACCTGCCAGGACAGACCTCTGAAAGTCAGTAAGGCAAGTTGTGGAATGAAGCATGGCAGGCAAACTTTAACAGTTTTTAGCAGCACGTGAATAGGAATGAACACCAGCCAAATACTGTACAATACTGCACTGGTGGGCAGGGACTCGGCTGTTTGAGGGTTTGTACTATATACTGTAGCCTCCCTTACAATTTCTATTTAATGTACCCATTACAATAAAGTTTGATCTGCCTATGAGACAGCTGTGCTCCTTAGAGAGCTTTACAGATAAAAAGTACAACAGGTTATTCCTATTTCCTACCTATCTGCAGCATCACAGCACTAGGACAAAATCCCCACCTTTCAAATGCACTGTACTCACTTTCATTACAGATAATGCCAGTCCACCCAGGAGAGCAAACACAGCCACTGTGTTCACTGTTACATCTGCCTCCGTTCAGACAATCCTCACAGCTCAAGCTACAGTCATTGCCAAAAGTGTTATCAAGGCAAACTGGAATGAAAAAATACAGAAGGCTTAGTGAGCATACAGACAAGCTTTTACCTCTCGTCCCAGATGCACAAGTGTGAAAAGGAACCTATGCAACATTGACAGTTGGAAAAAAAGTATTCATGTTGTTAGCATTAATGTTGATAGTGTTGCAAATACCAGATTCATTGCATGTCCCAAATCGTGATTCCTATATTTCCCTCTTCAAATTTTAGAGTCTAAATAAAAGGAAAGCTGGGACTTAGCTGGAATTTATGCCTTTAAATGCTGTAATTTCCCATCAAAGAGCACTTAAAACTTCTTTTCAGAAGCAAGTATCTTGCCTTTAGAAAAAAGTGAATTTGCACCTAATGCTTGATAATATTGTATATAATTAGAAGTATTTTGTGGGAGAGAATCTCCTTTTCTTCATGCTAGGCTATGCTTTTTGTTCTTCTATTGCAGTAGGTGGATGTGGTGCTATTTAAGCATAGTTCAGTGATATTTTTAACCCCACAGTCTGAATGTTACTCTAGGAAAACAAAGCATAATAGACATTTATCCCTTCCTTTTTCTTCACGGATATGAAAAATGGGTTAGTCTATATGGGAAACTTTAAATGAAAATGCATTTCTCCCTCACCTTCCCCAACCTCCTTTTCTCACTTACACCCACAGGTACCTGCACCCTCACGTTCTTTCTTCGTGGGGTCTATTGTGAAAGGCATAGAAAATAAATGTTACTTGCTGCTAAAATACCTCAGTGACATTAAGATCCTATCCACATGGTCAGCTTATTGCCTCTGAGGCTTTATGGGTTTGGCTGAAAGCATTTTGGAAAGGGATTTTGAACAACAACTGAAAGCGAGCTGGCAGATTGTTTCAGCTAACAGTAAGTCAGCAGGCTGGTTGCTTCTCACCAGCAATTTTCCATGTGGGGCCAGATTTCCTCTAGGTCTCAGCACTCAACTGTTCTCTTTTCTTGTAGCTCAACAAATGCCCAAGCTTCCAGAGACATTCAGAATCCCAGTGCTCACAGTTGGAACAGGTTTTAAGTTCATACTTCAGGAGAAGAATACAGATTACCAGCAAAAACATCATACTTCTATATTAAAAAGTCATTCAGGTTATAGAAAATATTTAATTACTTTTGACAGTTTACTGTTAAAGCATGGGGGTTTTACATGATATAGACAGCAGCACAGAAATGTGTCTGAAAGTATGAGGAATAAATTAATATTTGGGAGGTAAAAGTACTTACTAAACCATTAAAAGTTCAATTTCTCCCTTACCTTTTCCTATAAACCACCATGTGCTACAAAGCCTCAGCTTTAGAAAAAGTGCAGATGCTCTGCTATGACTGATTACACCTAAATTTTTGTGGCTAAATATAAATAAAACATGTAAAAACTGGTCAATAAATATTTGATTGTGGTTTCTAGGCCTGATAATTTTGCCTGTGGTTACCTCATTTATCAGTTTCCCAATTGGCTACCAGTGTCGTTGAGTCCGGCTAGATGCTATGTGATTTGGGAGGTCTTAACTGTTTTGTTCATAAAAATAAGTTAAGTTTTTATTAAAGCCAAGACCAATTCCTGATTTTTGCCTGTAGGGCACAGTCCTCAGATGAGTAATTAAAGCTCATATAAAAATCACAGGACATACATAACAAAAATAAGAAATCTCATTCTTCCCTGGTGACCCACTGGCACATACTGTACTCATCCAAAAGCAAGCACAGGGTTTCAACTCAAAATACTCTTTAGGTGGTGAAGTTTCTAACTTCAGGTGGAAAGGCTGAAGTCATTCAAAGCTCAGGCAAGGTGCAAAGCAGCTTTGCACTCACTCCTGTGACTGTGTGGGCTCATGTGCTCTCTTTGCCACCAGTCATGCCAAGCTCTCGGCCAGCCTGCACATTACATGGATGTGTCCTGGCTTTTTCCATAGAACATGCCCAAAGCATCAAAAGGGACCTGAATCTCCAGAGGGTTGGTTTTTTCCACATAAAAGAATGCAAATATATTAAGCAAAAGCCCTCCAATGATTATAAAAGGGCTTGTTAAACGGGCACACATGCCCTCAAACCTCCCTTTCCTAGCTCTTAGGAGAAAGAGAGCATTTCCCAACAGCTTGTTCTCAGTAGGCCAGGTTTGGTGGGTTCCGTGCATTGCAATAACCCATGCAACCCTCTAGCCCTGGGATCTCTCTTCTCATTGCTTTCGAGGCTTTCTGCAGACTACCTGTTTTTCCAAGAAGCCTCCCATCCCCTGCTGCTCACTTTTCCCCTGCCTCCCCCCACATCCCTCCCACCACATCCAGGCAACAGCCATGAGCAGCGAGCCTCCCTGCTTCTCAAACATGTCCCATTTGGGATGGGACATGTGGTAATGCCACCTCCTTGATGGCATGGATGACAGGCAGAAAGGATTAAAGCTCATCCTTCCTCTGTTGCTCCTGACAGCTTAAGCCCAGCCAGTCCAGCATAATTCTCACCCAGAATTCTCTTTCTGACACTCTTCCTTTGGTTTGCTGTAATGGCTAAAAGCAATGTTTGTTCACTCACCGACCCTGTGCAGCAGGGTGAGCTCTCCTCGTGGATCTTCATCCTCATAGAGGGCACCAAGCGCATAGTGAAGGAGCTGGGGGGGATCTCTGAACTGCAGCCCTGGAGCCCCGGCAAACCCCACTGCCTCTGCATCCACGTCCTCCCTACCTAGGGCTGACACACACATGTGCCATCAGGAACTGGCCCTGACTCTTCCTTACATCGTTTGAATTTATTATTTAAAATTTTTATTACGCTGGTACATTTTCCACCTACAGCCCTGTGCAGTCTGCACAGCAGTCACAGTTGATTCATTTTCTCATCTGTATGTATAAATAGAGTTTCTGCTACCCCAAAAAGATACATGGAGGAAGGGGGGAAGGGGAGAGAGGAAATCCTTTCCTTTACTTTCTTCTGGAAATAAACTCTGGTCCTGGAGAGTCAAAAAAAAATAATAATAATTTAATTTTCCTCACTTGAAGATTGAGATTATTTTTAGTTAATGAAGGTCATTACTTTGGCTCATTCTGGAGATGACATATATAGAGTGAGGCTGGCTGTCCAATTTATTTTCAGAAAACCTAAAATTTGAGCCTTAAAATGATAGGAAATCAGTTGGCTTTCTTTTTGGAGCTGGTTAAAATATCAAACTCTGCCCAAGGTTTAACAGATGCTAAACTTGATTGTAAAACTAAGTTGCTAGGCTAAATTCTGTACTGGTTACACTGGCAGAAATCCAGAATCACACCACTGACTTCAGTGGAAAACTTGCCATGGTTCATAAAAGCAGAATTTGGCTACCTTTTTTTCCACAGGATGTTAAACTTCATCAAATAGTGCAAGAAAACTGTCAAAATAGTATTCATTTCTAGAACATGAGGTTTAGGTTTTCCAACATGTCCAAGGGATTTAAGCACTCATCTCCCATTACCTTTGGCAGAACCCATTACTTGAGGATTAACTTGAGATCATGCAACTTCGTGTTGCATGTAGCTCTACCCTGGCCACATTCATAGATGGATCCCAAAATCCCAGAATCTATGAAAATCCCAGTTCTGAATTCTCATTTTGGATCAGTGTGAAATACTTAATGGCCTCCAAGATGTAAAAATAACTTACCAGTGCAGGACCATCTGTTAACACCAAGCCTGTAACCCTCCTTACACGCACATTCGTATGACCCCAGAAAATTAACACAGAAATGGTCACAGTTGCCGTTATCTAGACGACATTCATCCACATCTATTAAAAACAGATACAAATGCTGATTAGGTGCAAGCACTTCTGCCTGGAGAGCACACTCTCTGCCTGGCTGCATCTGAAGAATTATTCTGCACATATGAAAACCTGAATTTTTAGTACTTTGGGGGTCTGTTTCTCACTAGAATTTGAGATATTAAAACATTTCAGGACAACATGGAATGGATTATTTCACCTATATTTTTGTCTCAAGTGAAAACAGCTGCTTTAAGCTGTTAAGCTCTGTTGATCCTTCGGTTATTTTGAAGGCTCTCCTTTTGTAGAAGTAGTCTTTAACACACGTCAATATACAGTGTCCATGGAGAGGGAAGGAAAAGTTCCTCTTTGCTGGCTTGTTTCCCACAGCCCCACTTCTCCATGCTGGATGGTGGGTTATTACTGTATTCCAGTCTTACATAGTGGAAATTACACATTTGCAAAACCTTATCAGCAAAGCTCGCATACGGTCACTGATTCTCTTATTAGATAAATGTCCACAAAGCTCTGTGATGAGCTTTGACAGCATTTCTTCTACCTGCTGCTGTGCTTAGTTAGACTGAGCCATTGGTATCAAGGGACTCACCATCACAGGCACAGCCGTTGGCATTTAGCTGGAACCCTGCTTTGCAGGCACACTCGTAGCCACCTGCGTAGTTGATGCAGAATTGGGAGCAGCAGGACTCTCCGCTCTTGCATTCGTCCAGCTCTGCAAGAAAGGGGCAACTCGTTCAGCCCTTAGGCGTGGCCTGACCTGCTCCAATAGTTTGGATCGGTTGCTATTGTGCTTTTCAGCACCTGCCTTTCTATGTCTTTCTCTCCCTTTACCCACATAAAACACTGACAGCAGCTCTCTTCTACCTTCTCCCACAGCAGCCAATACCCTCTCTGAATAGGGAGAGGCAGCTTTTCTTCAAGTCTTAGCTTCCACAAGGTGATTTACAAAATAAACAATAATTAGGTCTCACCAGCCCACAAATACCATCTATTTAACAGTAATCTACATTTAACCATTTGTACTTTTTTTACATTCAACCTTATTCAATACAAACTGATAGTGAAACAACACTCTGATCCAACAAAGCATTTGGTGGACATCAGCAGCTTACTAGGTGCAGTTGTATTTTTTGATAACTAATTGCCCATTGCCTTATCTTGCCCCGTGTCCATCTGGAAATTGGTATCATTGACACCGCTGCTGCGGTGATTAGACAGGAGAATCGAGCTGCTATCTTCCCACTGCAGGCTCTCAAGTGATGCCAGCCCTTGCAGCCTGCTGAGCAGGTCAGTGGTCATTCAAGGGCCACTTTGTCAATGCTGAGTCTGCAAAATGCTTTTGAACATTACCCAGATGAGCAGCCACAGATGGGAAAGGTCAGTGTCTCAATTAACCTTGGAAGAAGTACCAACATTATTAGGAAATGCCAACAGGAGAAAGAGGAGGAAGAAAATGTAATTAATCAATCGAGGTGAAGAGGTCAGCAAGAAAATGATTAATGCAGGTTATTTGAACACAGAGTCTTTTCCAGAAATGTTGCAAGCTGAGCTCCTCTGCAGACAATGCCCTGCTCTGCGGTCTAGCAACAGCCCCTTGTCTGTGCAGGAATGTGAAGTGCGCATCCAACAAAAAGGAGATTTTTGTTAAGAGCAGCTTTTCATGTCCTCAGTCTTGCCAGATCCTTCCCCTGTGCTCTCACTTCCCTCGCTGTGTCCAGAGTAACTGCATCCCTCTGAAATCCCCATCAGCGGATCACTGAGCTCGGGCACAGGCAGGAGGCTGCTCTGCCTCCTCTCATCTGTACACAAGACTTCATAAACCACCCCACCCCTGCAAGGCTCTGGGTCCAAATCTGCCTCCCTGACCTGCTTTTTAAGCTCCAGCATCAACTGCCCTTGCAGACCTCAGTGCTTCCCTCCTCCCTTGCTCCCTCCTCTCTCCTGAACTTGGATTTTTCATTGCAAGGTTCTTCTTTTCTGTAATGTCTGTCACATGAACCAGTGCCTCCACTCTCTACGTCTCCTCACATCTTACTGTACTGTTCTGTGGTACCTGCTTTGTTTTTTTCCCTCTGTCTTCTTGGCTATTCTTTAAAATTTTAATGACATAGTGACAGCAAGCCTAAAACAGAAGAAACAGTTTGCATAGCAAAAGCCATAAATAAATAAAAAAATTAAAAATCACATTGAAAAATTGTTTAAAACATGAATGAATTTTTAAGCTCTTTTCTTGAAATGAAAACAAACCTAACTATTGCTTTCACTTCCTAAGTGAGACTTCTCACAGTCAGAAGTGCAATCTCATTACTGAGCCAATCTGATGGAAATACAACTTCCACAACACAAAGTGGAGTTTGCACATGAAGCGCTTCAGAATAGCAGTGCTACCTCTCCCAGCCAGAGGCGACCTCTTCCCAGCCACCAGCTGAGGAAGGGAACAAAAAAAAGTTGGGCAAGTGATGTTCGAGCTGCACACAATGAGATAATGGCCAGAGCAACTGGCAATACACCAAATTGTCATCTTCCATTTGGGAGGCAGAACTCCTTCCCCGTGTTAATTAATACTCCCAGCAAACATGCAGAGTGAGGCAAGCTGGAGCAGCGGCTTGGAAGCACCAGAGGATGGTATTAATTAAAACTTGTAGAAGAAAGGAAGGTGATGGGAAGGCATTTCCTTGAGTGACAGCTCTCCTGCAGGCTGCCCTTGCAGAGAGACCTGCCGCACCTCCTCCCTCCTCCTGCAGGAACACTGCATTTGCCATGAATTACCTGCACACATTTTGCCATCAAAATCGAGGCGATAGCCATCGTCACAGGAGCATCGTGGTCCCACAGTCGTGTGCTCGCAGTGGTGAGAGCAGCCACCGTTGTTTTCCTGGCAGCTATCGACAATTTCCATTTCGATGCCTTGCGGAGAAATAAATCAAAAGGATGTTAAAAAGCAAGCACAGGGGAAGAGTCACTGGAGAATAAGCTTTCTGTAAAAAAGCATCCATAAGCTGACTGCTGTAGCAGGAAATATAAACTCAACTCCCACTCACACCACAGAAAAGCATGTTCTGGAGCCACTGAACTCCAGGTATTTGTCTCCTTGTGTATTAACAGTGTATGCTCTTGACTTTGGTAATGTGAAGGCAGCTCACCATTTCAGCAGTCTGCCTACTACAGGAGCACTCACAGGTTTCCTGAGATCTATGCTTTGTTTGAAGGCAATGGCAAGTTCTGCCCTTGCCTCAAAGGAGGAAAGGAACTATCTGAGGAACCCAGGTGGTCCATCTCAACCCAGACTGCTTATGCTTTCCAATAAGTGACTTTTACTGTTGTATGCAAATGGCAAAGAGTTGGATTCCGAAACATCCACTAAACACAAATGTCAGCTTTCACAGCAGAGTCCTGTGTGACACCTAACCACAAGGTGGCAAGTCTGACACCTAACCACAAAGCAGAACTATCCACAGGTTTTGACTGTTGGATATCCCTTCAAGAGAGCACGCAGCAGCTTCCCTGCTGAGACTTTCCCCCCTGTAATTAAGACAGTGTGGTGGTATGATGCTGTCGCCACCCCTCTTCACCCTGACGGACCATCCCCATGCTTCTGCACTTGGTTGCACTGGAGAGTCCTCACAACATTTTGGCCAGGTCCAGTGGAAGTCCTCATATAGGAAAGGGAACATCTGGCTACCTCATTGCCACTGAGGTACTTCATTGGATGATTTCTTCAGGATGAAAAGAAACTGTAAGTTCAGTTATAAATCTTCTCGGGAAGAATTACGCAGATTGTCTCGTTACATAACTATGTAGAGAGGAATTAATTTCTCATGATATGCAGGAGAACTGAGAAACACCCTCCTTAAAGAAGCCACCATACTTCCAGAAACACCCCAGCTCAGAGCGGAGGCCATCAGATCTGGTGCAGAAGGATGGCATTTCCCCACTGCCATGGCTCTCGGACACATCTGTGTTGGAGGCTCTGCTCCTGCCCTTTTTGTGCCCCCAGGGAGCAATCTGACTGCCGACAAGAAATGCAAGTCTTGTTGGAAGAGGATATAAATTAGGAGAACATATATTGAGGCCTACATCTTGTGCGTAGTATGATTATTTGCAGCAGGGAGAAGAAATCTAGTCTACTGCCCAGCGTGTTAAGCTGAGATTTAGGAAACCCAGCAATCAAATGCAGAATCTGACTTTATACACTGTCTTCATCATTTACTTTGTCTCAGTTCTTCATCAGTAAAAATAGAATAATAGCTCTTCCCCCTGACACTGGGGAAATGAAAGAATAAACAAAGATTATAAATTGTGCAAACACTTAGATGCAGAATGTTTTTATTTTTATTGTTTGCTTTGTAGTATTGTTCATAAAGCACAGAGAATAAGCATCCGCTGAGATTTGCTGAACATGAAGAAAAAATGTTATCAGAAAATCACAATGAAATCTAAGTTGTCTAAACCACTTTTTTTATCCCCAGATAACAGATCATTTCATATCTATATATTAATTGCATTTCCTCTGCCATTGCACTATTCACAGTTCCTCCCCACCATCACCTATGAAATCCCCAGGATATCTCTCACATAATTGTTTTTTATTTTTAATGTATGTTAATACTTTGAAACTGAATTTCATCCTTAATAAGTATTTCTTACACACACATTCTTAAAGAAAGCATTAATTCTCTGGCATACAGCATATTTTCCTAAGGAAATTCTGCTGAAAGCTCTTGCACAGTATTATTACATTGACTGATTTTTGCCCACCTCTTTACTAAAACAGGTCATGCTTTTCTCTGCATTCCAGTGAGCTTATGTTAGGTCCATAATAACACCAGCTTTTCCACATCATCTCCTTTATTAATCTAAATTTACCCTCAAGGACAACCTAGGGATCACCTATCAACTAACAGTGCTGGGAATCAGTCCCCTCCTCAAGAAGAGTGGTGTTGATTAAGAAACCCTGCTGACAAGAGATACGCATGTGAAGGAAGACAACAGAGCTCAGCATCATTTCAGTTTGGGAAATTTCAGTTGTTCAAATATTTTTTGCATCCCCAATCTTGCTTTTCTCCATTTTTTTAAAGCATCTACTTAATAGTGTCCATAATCTCAGAAAAACATAAGTAAACTTAGAGATAAAGACAGGAGCAGAACATCATGTTGGTTTTTTCTTGCCTCAGATCTGGCATATAATAAAACTGGGAGAAGGAGGGCAGGAATTAACGTGTTTCACAGAAGAGCAATATTTTGGTAGCTCAGCAATAGAATTCACCAGTCTCTGAAGATAAACCAACATGGCTATTTACTCTTTGAAATTCAGTAATTAAGGTCTGTGAACACAGGCTTAGGAATATCAACCTGCAAAACCAGCAGTAGCAGAAGATGAAGAAAATAGTATTAAGCTTAAGCTTTTGCATACATTTATTTTGCTGGGAGTGCTAATCCAACTGAATTAAAAATGAAGCATAGCAGTTTGCAGATAAGATAGCCTGAAATGCGTAACTGCAAAAGTGTCACTTACGGTAGCACTGCTTTCCATCAGCCCCCAGTTCGAAGCCCGGATTACAGACACAGGTGAAAGATCCCAGTCTGTTCACACAACGATGAGCACACCTGGCTCTTCCTTCTGCACACTCATCAATGTCTATGAAGCGTAGAGAAAGGCAAAGACATTCATTTGGATATTAAAGTAAAAAATAATGTATTTCTACACGTGCATGGCTGAAAAGCGCATCCTGATGTTAGTCTACAAATGACAGCCCCTGATGAATCCAGGAACACTGAACTCGACATTATTCTCCAAAATAAACTTTTTTCCAAACACCATTTTTCAACCATTCAGCATGAATACTTACAATATAAACCACTATATTTACAGTATCAGCTAAAGCAACTTATTATTCCTGTAAAAAAAGCAATGGCCAAATAAGTCACATGAAGAATTCAGAAGAAAGTCCTATCTCCCACTACCCTAAAATTGTCGCTACATCTTCAATACTACTATATTTAAATTAATGGAGCAGGAAATAGCTGATCATTTTCTGAATGTCAAATGATTTGGATTGAGTGGTGGCTGGGTTTCAGCAGGTACAACAGAGACAGATCTCTGTCACATCCCTGAATCATGCAGCTGCTTCTATGGAAGTCCCACTGGGGGCACCTACTCTAATCAGCAGAGTTTCATCATACCTATAAGAAAAGAAAAAAAGTGAAGAACTGTGGGTGGAGAGACTGTTCTTCGCCCAGCACTCTCTTAAGGCTGTCAAAGCGCTTCTCAGCTATATACTTACAAGTCTGTATTTTGGAGTTAAATGCTGCCAAAGGCATCCATTTTCCTAAAATCTCAGTGGAGCATAAAAATATTTGTAAAGAATAATTATTGGGGGGGGGGGGGGGGGGGGGGGCAAAGCGAAAACTTACACTAAATGCTGCTGCTGTGGAGCACAGCTGCAGAAAAAACTAACCTCTGTGCAAAGACTGACATAACCTTGCACAAAGCAAACCCTTAACCCATCTCCTGTTCCTTCTCTTGTTCTCACATATTGCTTGCAAAATACAGATTATTTATTGCACCAGTCCTGGGTCAGTGTCTCACACACAGGAGAGAACAGTCCGGTGTGCAGCTCCTCACCTTTTACAGCAAACCACTTTCTAACAGGGTTTTTTTTTTCCTTCCTAGGTGCTGTAACCAGTGCCATCGTGCCCCTTGTACTTGAACACAAGTAATTTTACAAATGCAGTCAGCCTACTTGCAAAAAGAGGCCTCAGGCAGTGCAAACACCACGCACCAACTCATGAAAATTTCAGGATAAATGACAAGTTCTCTGAAGCAGCCATGTGAGTAGCTGCTGTTTAGACTAAAATGGGTTCTCTCTCTTTTTTCTCTAATTGTCATTTTGCAAGTAGACTATGTTGGCAAATTCTGTAAATGTGCTTTTCTCTTTTTCTGCTTTTTCAAATAGAAAAAGGTGGAAAACTGAAACACAGCCACCATTCTCCATGTTTCTTCTTATCTTTTAAATACAGCTAATAACTAAAGTATGACACTTTAGTTGCCCTCTGTCTCCTTCTAGCTCATCTTCCAGAGCCTAGTTTGAATTTTGCAAGACATCGAATAATTTCTGGAAAAAAAACCCAATAATCATATATCCATAGCAAGACACGATGCTTGATGATTAAAAAGACTGTTGCCATGAAGTTGGAAAGAAAATTTGTTTCAATATATAACGCTGGAAGCTTCCTAGTGTGCTAGTTTATACATAAATTAACAGAATTGTCAATGTGTATCTGAGAAAAAATGAGTAACATGCTGACCCTAGTATTAAACCCACTGCTGTTTCCATCTATTAATCGTCAATGAAGTGTCTACACTGCTTGAAAATACTCTGCTTTTCCAGTAACCTTAATCAGGCGTAATCCCAGTAAGAAAGGATAATCACTGAGCTGTGCAATGCTACTCACAGAAGACCTTAAGGACAACTGAGTAAAATACTCAGGGTAGGAAGTATTTTGCAAAGCACTTAGCACCACATAAACCAACAATTTGAATATTGGCAAAATCTTGACAAAGTTTTCAAAAGAAGTTTATAATTGGTGTCCGAATACATACTCTGACAAGGCTGTTAAAAATCTGTGTACCATGAAGTCCAAAATTGCTTTTTCCTTCATAAAACTGATGATAAACTATCTAGCTTCCAAGAATCATATTGAAAGAAAAGCAAGTATTTTGATAGCTAATTGCCTCACATTTCAGGTCAAAAAAGCTTTAGATCCTTTCGAAAATCTCAGACAAAATACAGGACTTTGGAATTCAACTCTTAAAGCATCTCTCTTTGGAAATCTTACACGTCATGATTTTCCTGAACAGTAGTTTGTCTATTAATATGGAAACAGTTCTCCAGCTAAAAAGCCCTTTGAATTCTAAATAGGTTTTCAGTGACCTGGTTCAGAGTGTTACTTGAACCAATTTTCCAGGAGCTGTATCTGGGGCATTATTTTAAAGGGACCCTACAAGAACGACACTACAGCATCTACAAATCCAGTTGCTAGAAAGCATGATTTAAGAGATCACAGAGTAATTTTCATTAATAAAATGGTTCTTCAAGATTATTGTGTGACATCAATATCACAGAAAGAAACACCATTTCAAAATGCAGACATATATTTGTAAATATATTCTTTTCCATTCAAAGCTCAGCAAACCAGAGTGCATATTAGTATCTTTCTTCCCAATAAATACTCCAGTTTCTTACCTAAACAGGATATTTTGTCTGCAGAAAGATAATACCCTGCATGACACTCGCATTTTGCAATTCCTCTCTCATTTTGACAGATTTGTGGGCATCCTCCATTCCCAGTTGTGCAGGGGTCTATCACTGAAACCAATTAGAACACACTGTCAACTTAAAGGTCATGGTTTTGTCTGAAAATGATCTTACCTGACACTGTTACAACTAACAACAAAGATTACTGTAGCTGTTAGAGATTAGACCGGAAAAAAATATTTGACAGAATTTGGTGTACAGTAAAGCCATTGTTTTTCTGTACACTATTTTCTCTGTTGCTGGACAGCATTTTTCATAGAGCAGCAACAACGCTTTACACAGTGGGAAAGTGAGCTTGTATTACACCTTGGAAGTAGGACAAGAGACATACATTTTATTCTTATTTTGCTGTAACTGAACAGATTTCAAGAGTTGGTTTAAACAATAGCAATTAGCACTCCAGTTTGCCACAGAACAGTGTGCATTTAAGTCTCTAGAGAAAATAAATGCTGAAGAGCCCCAGAAGACCTCCTTCAGTCTAAAAACTTATGCCATTCATGTTGTACATCAAGATTTTCTTTCTTTTCTTGAAAAAAAACATACCATTTCAAGGATAAGCTGCTCTAAGTGGCAAGTACTTAGCAACATATTTATAAAGTGCCTACAGAAGTCTCCACCTCAGAGATTTCACTGTGGTTTATGGGTTTATTTCTGGAATACATACCTGCTGGAAACAATTCTGATGTATGTGCCCAAATAAAGACTTTGCACACGATAAAAGAGACCGACTAGGACTGTTTGGACAGGTCTGATTTGGGTTAAGAGCCAGAGTTTTCATACCAAAATCTGATACTCTGCACAAGGTTGAGGTATCAGTTTGGAGTACTAGTTACGCTAACACACTGATGAATAACATCATCACATAGGTAAATCTGGAGGACACCTTTGAAAATGTGTCCTCTAGACTTCTGCTTAGTTTCAAATAAAGCTTTTGAAAAGTCAGAATTCAAGCTCTGATTCAGTTTTAGCATTTTACTAATTGCTGTCTGATTTGAGACATTTGACCAGAATTCCTCACTCGCCTCCAACCTGACAACTCCTTCACCAGCCATCTCAAGCTCTGTACAAGCCAACTTTTATCAAGACACCAGGAAGAAAGTTAACATCAGTTCAAAGCACTGGTGGTGCAGTCAGGGTTTCAGTAACCCTGAGAAAGGTTTGAAGCTGGTTTCATTTTTCATTTTTTCATTTCTTTTTCATTTCCTCCAATTTTCACTTTTCTGTGTAGTCAGTAGCATTTTGAGCTATCATTTGGCAAAGAAGGATATTGCCCCAGAACACCTTTAAATTCCCTTGTTTCACCTCCTGCCACTGCAAGAACATAACAATTCAAGTCTGCAAGCTGAGTTTGCCTTGAGAGTATTAAAAAAAAACCATAAAAAGTCACCGTTAAGTATGTAGAACTGAAATTTTCTGTTGGATTTTCAACACAATAGGTTGCAAATATGTTTCCAAGGGACAGCAGCACTTCATCCTACGTGACACTTTCAAGGCTGATAACTTGGCTCTACAGTTAGACAATTTGTGGTCTACAAAAGATTTAGCTTCAAGAAAGAACTCATTCCTTGCTGATAAGAAATACTGAGTTATTTGTTGATTTTTTTCTATTTGGTTAAATTAAATGAAATCACTATCAAACAGCATCTGTTAAACCTGCATATTATAACGGTTTTCAGAGCATCTAAAGCTTTAATTTGAGAATGATTATAGCATAAAGTAAACTTGTAATACTGTGTGACATGACAACAAACAAACAACAAATTATAGGGTAGATGTTAGCACAACACAGTAATTTGAATAAAGATAGCAGCCTTGGAAGTCCTTAGACAAGATAAAAGATTGTGAAGGGAAGATCTTCAGCACACAAGGCAACCACTGTTTGACTTGTTTTCCACTGACATATCTGTTCCTTCCTGTTACAGGCAGGTTTCAGGAAAAACTAAGAATAACTCATTAGAGCTATTTTTCCTACCATTTGGCTCTTACTGACTCAGTAACTTTAGTGGATAAGAGACTACATCCTACAAAACTCTATTCCAAGCTGTTAAACACTATGGCAAAAAATTTAATGGAACTGTTTCATTTCCTAGATACCCCAGGTCAGTTTGCCTCCATGCTGAAAGCTGCACTACCCTGCTAGGCTTGGATGTTTCTGTGTGGCCTTTCAGGGCTATGGGGTGCAGTATTAACTCCCAAGCAGTCGGCAGGGATGACTTCACCCCTGCAGCGCAGTTACACCTGCTGTAGTAAACACCCTCATGACACTGTAGTTTCTCTGTCCAAACTAGCACTACAGCAGCCATCCTTTCTGCTTGGAAAGCAAAATCAGCTAGGCTCACTTCCTCCCACCTTTTCTACTTAAAACATCTCTAATTGCCAACCCAACTGTATTCATGGACACTTTATGCTCATTTGTTCCCGTAAAAATTTTGTTCACTGGCTTAACTATAATTTTTCTTTCCCAGGTGTTTATTTGCTAAGGTATTTATGGGAGTAAGCATCCTACTCAATCTTCATTTTGCCAGCTGAGCTCCCCTTGCAAGACAGATTCTCCTTCCTCTAAGAATTGTCATCCCAGAGAGCCTGTGCTATTACATTTTGATTTACACCATCCTGAACACAGGTAACCAGGTATACACGTGAACTCCAGACAAGGTCTCACCTGCAGACAAAGCTGACCTTGCCCCTTACCTACTGTTCAGCAGTTATCAGCTGGTGACAAACTGCTGCCTTTGGTGGGTGGCTGACCCTCATCAGCTTCACGATGTGAGGAAGCCAATGGCCACAGCTGCCTGCATGGTGGCAGAACCTCACCAACTAAGGGAATGAACCCGCTTGTTTTGCTGCTGAGCTGAACCAGTCACTGGCAGCTGAGATAGACAGAGCTTTAAGTGGCACATGGAGGTTTGAACAGCTCCATGACCACCCAAGCAACAACTCCCACCCCACCAGGCATCACCACACTCAGACCCTGACAATCCAAATTCTGACCCACCACACCACCACTAAAAAAACACTGAAAAGTTTTATGCAGGGGTCCGCACACCCAGCTTGCTTGGCCAAGGACAGCTCAAGTGCTAGAGGCAGCGGAAGAATCACAAGAGGTTTGGAAATAGGCTGGAGAACAGCGGAAGAAGGTCTCAGATGCCCTTTCCCCTCCCCAAAACTTCCCTTTTCTGACTCTTTCTGGCTATCTTGGGGACAAAGCACAGCCACCCCAAGAGGGATGGAGAGGTGAGCTGGTTGTGGGTGCCCTGTGGAGAGCAGGACTTGGGGAGGCCAAAACCAAAGGCTAAGTGCTCATTGGACACAGCGTGAGTTGAAACCAAGCTGAACAGCAGGATTTACTTACGCTTTATACACAGCATATAAAATTTTAAGCAGAAGAGAAGCCATACGGAAACAGTTTTGTGACAGGAATTTTAGTGTAGTAAATCCATATATTTGGCCCTATCTTACTCTGGCATCTTCAAGGGTACTATGTGTGTGCACCTATGCTGGGGAAAGGGAGGAGTTGCCTTAAAAACTGATGAATACATGTGAGAAAAAAACCCCAACACGAATAATCAAACCCAAAGGTAGCATTTCTGTTCTGCTTGTGAAAGTGTTTGCTTAGAAACCTGAAGGAGAGAAGGAATGAATCAGACTATGATTAGGAACGACATAAGCCAAAACCAGATAAAGAAAAGTTTACGTAGAACAAAACATGTTATAAAATTATTCAGGATAAAACAGAGGCCAACTTGATATACAACTTCATGAGTAATGAAATGTTAGAATTACAACATGATTAAGTTCCTAACCTATGTCATCATTGTCAGTGTGCAACAAAGAGCCAGGGGTTTATGAGGCCAAATCTTATTAAAAATTGTGAATCAATGTGAACTTCACACCTCAAATGTGTCATTTTAAAATTCAGTTAATAAGCAATTCCTGGAGCTGCTTTTGGCAAGCAGGGTGAAATATGAATGAACACAGCAACCTGAAGCACTATCCTGGGGTCTTTTTAACTGCCTTTAATGTGTGTCTCCAGGCAGGTAGTGCAGGACTTACCTTCACAGGATCTGGCATCCCTCTTCAGCTGGTAGCCTGGCTGGCACTGACACTTATAGTGGTCCTCACTGAGCTGAACACAATCCTGCTCGCAGCCCCCCTTGTTAACACTGCAGGAATTGATAGCTGAAACCAAGGAAGCATTGAGAAACACATGTCAGCAACCCAAGAAACTTATTTCCTATTTTAAATACATAAATCACAGTAAAAATACACAAATGTCACCAAACAGCTTCCATAAATGCACCTGTCCCCATCCCCCGTGTGATTGCTCTCCCTTGCATTCAGGGTGCTTGTTTGACACAGTGTTTCATGTCAGCAAAAGCTGCGATTCCAGTGAGAGGCAGGTGAGATCCAAGAGCTGTAATGCTGACTGAAGTACAGCCACCCTTTGATCTGACAGCAGCAAAGCACTTGAGAATCCACTGAGGTAAGGAGGAAAAAAATACGTCCCTACTGGCTCTTGCCCATTGCTGTTTTGTTGGGGTTTTTTTTTCTGTCCTTGATGTCATTTATTTAAAAAAAAAACCAAACAAAAACCAACAAACCAAAACCTGTCTTTCAGTTTGATTTCCTCAGCCTCACGCATAGGAAGCTACTAATGTCAGGAGTTACAAACTAGTTAGAAAGTAAATCACAACAAGCAACAAGAGGGTCTTTAGCACATCTCTGAAGATGTTGCTTCTTTTACCCAAGCAAATTAATATTCTTTTTTGTTCAATATATATCTCAGCTTCTAGAAAAACATTTCTCCTGCCAAAATACGTTATCACACACCCACACCTATTCGCACACTGCATATAAAAATAAGAGAGATAGTTTGAACCTGTTGCTGTGCTGTACATATGTAAGTGTGAGTGTGTGCAGGACTGTGTCTATATATATTTTAGCATCAGTGGATGTATTATGTTCTCAATGAGTAGCTAGAAAGACTATTTGGTCCTTCATGAAAGGCATCAAAGTCCGGACACAATGAAGTCAGAAAAGAGCTTTGATATTTATTTTAGGAATATTTGTATTAATTCATTTATATGTAATAGACATTAAGAAAACATTAGCCACAAAGGCTGCTGTAGGAAGCGAAGTACATGTTAAAAATACCAAAAGAAAAGCAAATTTTTACATTCTCATGGATGCACACACAGCAGTAGCTGGGAGATACATTGCTACACACTGGACCTGACCCTGGCTTCTGGTCTTCACCTGTGTCTGCCAACCTCCCACCCAGTTAGTGACATAACTTGAAAACAGCTTGATTTCTATGCGGGAGACAGAGGACCCAATACACTCTGAGCTACCTGCTTGCTCCACATATGTATCCAAAGACCTGCTTTTCAGCAAGAATATTCAAATGAGATGAAAATATTTCAGAAGATGAAAAATGCCTTAAATCAGCTCCAAGTGACAGAATATACATCTTGGTTTTTTTAAAGTGCATTTTCTCCCCCATTTTCTGGGCATAAGCCAATTTGGATGTAAGGAGAAATAAGCAACAACCTGTCGTACTGAGGATTTTGGAGGCTTTGAAGCCAGAAAGGGACTAGTGTGAACTCCTGCACAGAGAGCTTGCACTGGGGGGGGGGCTGTGCCGCCTGGCCCGGCATGGAGCTCTGCCGGCAGCTGCGGAGTGAGGGATTACTACACCAGAGCAGCCATGGCCAGGTTTCACGCCTGCTGCCAAGGCATAGCGTGTGCTACATAAGAGGAGGTGCCAGACTGAAAGAGAAGAGCCACCGGGGAAGGAACAGAATGAATTGTGCTTGTGCTGTTTGGTGCCAGCAATGCATCTTTGATCAGAAAAAGGGAGAGGCTCGGCATACCATGAGTCTAATTCCACCTCTTGTAAAGGGGCTTGTGGCTAGAGGTCTGAGCACATGCATGGAGTTCAGGCAGAAATACAGTATGCCCTCCTTTCAAAGATTTGCTCTTGAAGTTTGATAGAAAACCTACCCTGCTGTCAAGTCCTGAGAAATATACATTTCTCAACCCATTATTTTTTATAATAATGGTCATATTTTCACAGAAAACCTGAGTATGAAGCCATAGCTAGATGGATACACGACAACCACACAGTTATAATATGTAGGCTATTCAAACCTATGTTTCCATCACCTTCAATCCAACCTTATCAATTACAAAAAAACTTCAACTTCAGACATACTGTGCTTTTACTTATGTGGAAAAACATAGGTTGTAGATTGATAGTGATGTCTTCTTTGTTATTTCCTCTGTTAACAGCCTTAGTCTGTGCCCTGGGTTCAGCTACAGCAGTCATTTTTTCTCCTTCTTAGTAGCTGGTGCAGTGCTGTGTTTTTGACTTTCAGTCTGGGAACAACGCTGATAACCCCGATGTTTTTAGTTGTTGCTAAGTAATGTTTACTCTGAACAAGGACTTTCTCAGTCTCATGCTCTGGCAGGGAGATGGGGAAGCCGGGAGGAAGCAGAGGCAGGACACCTGACCCAAACTGGCCAAAGGGGTATTCCACACCACAGCACGTCATGCCCAGTATAGAAACTGGGGGGAGTTACCCGGAAGGCCCAGATGGCTGCTCGGGTCAGGCTGGGTATCGGTCGGCGGGTGGTGAGCGGTTGAGTCCTCTCCCCTTGTTATTCCTCTTATCATTATTATTGGTAGCAGTAGTGGTTTGTATTATACCTTAGTTACTGGAGAGCTGTTATCTCAACCCGTGGGAGTTACATTCCTCCGATTCTCCTCCCCATCGCTCCGTGAGCAGGGGGAGGAAGGAGGGGGAGTGAGCGAGAGGCTGCGTGGTTTCCGGTTGCCGGCTGGGCTACGACAGTGTGCAAAAGTCTCTGTATAAACCTACATCTCAACAGCTTTTCTGCATAAGGCAGGCACCAATGATAACAGTTGGCACCAGAGATGAATGGGGGTCTGAAGACTGTGTTCTGCTTTCACTTCTAGGAGGTTAAACAAGAATAAATTTCAGTGAAGACAATGAATTTACATCAGTCCAAAACCACAGCCCAATACTACAATAAACATGTACTCCTTCTGAGTTTCTGCCTTCCAGACACCAGTCAGTTAAACTTTAATGAAATTAAAATCATTATGTTAACAAAATCAAGGCATTAAAAACAAGGCGAAAAAAATAGTCAGTGTTACCTTTGGCTATTTTAATTACCTAACTTGTAGTGAACATTCAGTCTGGCACATATATCTAAAAGTGAATTCAATATTGATCAAAATTTGTGGGACCAAAAAGCTAAGGAAGAAAAGGTGCATTGAAAAAGATAGGATTCTGACATGGCACATAGTATCAGAGATCATCAAAGGATTCAAGATGACAGTAATTTACTTTCACACACTACTTATCACTGAACAAGGCAACCCATTTAGAGGTTGTTTGCCTTAGAGTGTGGGCAGAAGTTTCTAACAAGAGCAGGCGGAATGACAAACAACAAACAGATTTCTTCAAACCATGTATTTTGAGGCTCGTACAAGCAGTGCAGGTGTGGACCACCAGCAGTTAGTCAGGATCCCAAACATACTGTGATGATGTGGTAAGAAGACTGGACTCATTGGAAAGAGTTTGACAGAAGCTCAGTAATCTTCCATGCAATTACACAAGAAAGTAGCTTATCCCATGTTTTTGACTTTTCAGATGTAGGCTGAATATCTCATAAGAAGATAGATCCACTTCCTTATGTATGAGAGACATCCAAACCATCTAGGCTGTAAGATCTGCCTCGCCTCAAGTGATTTTGGCACTTTTGCTCCCAGAAACATAGGGTTGCCAAGAAGAAAAAGACAATGTGAAAGGAATGAATGCAACAGAAGTCTGGGCTGGGTTCATCTGAAATGCCTGTCTGAAGGGATGCTTATTTCTTATTTCTGCAGCTGAGGTAATCACCTTCCATAAAGAGTTCACTTCCAGAACATAGTCCTTTTTTATTCTTAGTATGTGGGAGATATCATTACATCCTCTACAGTATCCTTAGAAGAAATATAATTGATAATGCAAGCCCTATATGAAACACTAAATGTTCTGCTTAGCAGAGCTAGGTCAAAAGAAGTGCAATATCTACCTGGGGGGCCTACAAGAAAGCTAGAGAGGGACTTTTTACAAGGGCATGTAGTGATAGGACAAGGGGGAATGACTTTAAACTGAAAGAGGGGAGGCTTAGATAAGATATTAGGAAGAAATTCTTTACTGTGAGGGTGCTGAGGCACTGGAACAGGTTGCCTAGGGAAGCTGTGGCTGCCCCATCCCTGGTGGTGTTCAGGGCCAGTTGGATGGGGTTTGAAGCAACCTCGTCTAATGGAATGTGTCCATGCCTGTGGCAGAGGAGTTAAACTAGATGATCTTTAAGGTCCCTTCCAGCCCAAACCATTCTATGATTCTATGATTATTGGGTTTACTTCTTGTTTAGATGAGTGCTCAAAACTGAATGTATAAACTGGTGCAGCAGAAGAGGCAAACTCTATCCCCAGTGGTCAGCAGCTAGTACCCAAATCCTGAGGCTAGGCACTCCTAGATTACTGGTTTATATGAGATACTTCTCTCTGTCCTCATCAGTTAGTAACTGTCTTGTGCTCCAGTGCATGAGAGCTTATTATATCCATTTATTTTGGTGTCTTGTCTAAACAGCTGAAATGGAACTCAATATCCTCCGCTCATTATCCATTTTATGATAGCAGTTCTCTCTGAAACCTACTCCTGTCTCTCATTTTAGGTTTTATTTCTGTTTCTCCTTGATAATTTCTGAGATACTACAAACAGAACTAACAATGTATTTTTAATAACTTCTTGTGAATACATACATTTGTGAAGTGAAAACTTGCCTTCTGATAATGTTCATAGCTAGGACAACTCCAAATTGAGCTTCTTTATTATTTGTGCCATGAGAAAACTTTACTATTCTATGCTCACAGAAGGTTTTACACATTACATGGGTAAATTAATTTAATTGTCATACCATCTACTTTTTGTGTTCATTCAGTTCTCATTCTTTTTCTGCAAAGCCACTTTAGTCCTTTTTTTGTTTAAAATTCCCTCTCCCCACAGCCAAAAATGAAACTATTCAGAGAGAGTAACACAACTCAGACATCACACCTTTCACTTCTGGGTCTTTCCTGCTAAGACCTGATCAGAGATACGAATTTCTCTCTCTTAATTCACAGAAAACCACTAGTGTTTCTAGTTGAATTCATATTCCCACTCTGATTTTACATTAATTTATTCTCTCGCACTAGTGTTTGCTTACCCATATCTTCTCCAACTAAGATAATCAAGAAAAGATTGAGACTTTACCATATTTTTAATTGCAGTTAAGCAATGACCACAACACTGAAAATCTCTGTATGTGGTAAACCAAACAAACCTAGAAGAGCAAGTTCTTTAAATAAAAAATACTATTCCCACAGCTTGAGCACTGCTACATCCTGTATTCTAATTGCATCAGTAAATCTATTGCTGTGATAATACCAGAAATGACTGATGACATATTTTGCTGATGTTAATCACAATCAAGGGACTTTGTACAAGAACAATGACCAAACTGTGAGTGAACTTATTCTGCAGATGTGATCTGACCAGACTTGATTGTTCTTCTCATATTACCTAAAATCAGGCTTAAAAAATTAAACAAACGACATTTTCTTCTCCAAAATGACAGAACACTTTAATCCTTTCTAAAAAATTCAACAACTTGACTTCTGTACTGATTTAAATGCAACACAAGGATGGCATATTTTATTTTATTATTATTTTTAGTAATATGCAGAATTAACTCTGTATATCTTGTTTCAAGGCTCAAGAACAACCTAAGAAACACAGAGTTTATTCTTAATGGCAAAGCTGCCAATTCCCTCCACAGGCACATAAATGGGCATTGTGTCATGGGCTGAACTGACAAGCTCCATGGTGCTCTCATCTACATAAGCATACGCAGGGTAACTCCATCCTGTAAATCAGTGGCTTTTCATCCTGTTTTTCAAATTCAGGTACAGCCTTTGGGATCATATCCACCCTCCTACTACTGTTTCGTAATGCCTGTTTCTTGGAACAGGATGTCTGTCAGTACAACTGCGAGCATCATTCAGATTAGCGGAGCAGTTGCCAAAACCTGCAGCCAGCCCAAGCTCTGCATTTAATGTTGGCAGAAAGGGGAGCACATCCACAAGCAAGCATTCATGAGCTGAAGATCTTCAATATGGGAGATTTAAAACTAATTTACAGAAAGGCAATCAGTTTGGTCTGCAACTTCTTTTGTTATTGGCTTTCACGTTATCTTTTGCTTGGGCGGGCATGCAACAGAGAAGTTCAGCAAGGGTTTTGCTGGCTGAGCAAGGGAAATTAGTTATCGGTTGTAACAGAGATGTGACGAACAGGACTGCAGCAGATGAAGATGTATCCCTGATATACAGGAGCAGTGCAACTTTGTGAAGACCAGTGTAGATAAAGGAACAGATCAAAGGGCATAGGATCACTGTAGGAACAAGGAGCTTTCACAATTCTATAGCACACTAATTACCAGCCCACAGCATAAGCAGAATCTGAGGAAAAGTGCTCAAGACTCTCAGCTTCATATGCATGGGCACCTCCTGAATGAGTTAAAAGGATGAGCACAAGCTAAACATTCATGTAATATACTGTGGAGGAGAGTTTTCAGCCCACCCCATACATACTTCTCACTGTACCTGGTAACTAAAATGCAAAACAGACTCAAACAGACAATTCTGCATTACTATTTTACATAAAAAAAAATCCTTAATGTACAGCAAAGACTGAAGAGATGAAAGGTAGGGCTTCTTCCTTTCATGGACTCTCTGAAAACCGGAAGACCTCTGAAGGCATACTTAAATATTTCATTAGCCTTTTAGAGCTCCCTCTCTAGCTACCAGACCATAGCACCATATTCTAAGACGCATCTTAGTAATTCACAAATTTGGCCTCTGCTTTTGATCCTCCCACGAGGATTTTCTGCTACACTCACTGTAGCACAGTCAGAGATTTTACTTCATCACTGCACCCCTCGACCCAGTTAATGAGATCCTCCTGCCTCAGCTCATGCCACCACCTGGGAAACCCTTTGGGGACCCAGCCTGGGCAGTCTGAAGGACTAAAAGGCTAAATCCAACTTCTCAGTGGCAACCACAAGCTTTATTTTGTCTTCATTGCTGAAGACACAAGCTACATTTTGGGATTGCTTGGTCAGAAGAGCAGCATTCTGCCAGGCAGCTGTGGGCAGATTTTGCTATCTGCTGTTTGTGTCTCTTCAAAAGCAGGCAAAAAGACTAAGAGGAAGAGTAACAGGGCAGAAAAGCCCAGGGCAGTGCTGGAACATGCAGGGAGATGCAACGCAAATAAAAAATGCTCAGAATTCAAAACAACATTTTTATTTGAAACTAAGATCCCCTATTTCTTCAATGCTTCCGGCAAACAAAAGAAATTTTCAAAAGATTGCATCACAGAAACACCGGACACCACCACTCACCAAAAAAAAAAAAAGGAACAACTGTATGCTCACAGCAAAAAAGGAACGAATTTGGAAATACCAGAGTCAAGCTGCTTGAGCTGGAATGGTTATTATCATTATGGATATATCATTATTGATATCCTGTGTGAATTAGTCAAAACTCAGACTGGGATAGTCGACAAACCTTTGTACTTATGCAAAGACAGGTTTAGCAGAGAAAACCATGTCTTGAAGTACGTGAAGTGCTTGTCAACATTCACTCACCTATGCAAGTGCGCCCATCAGCGTGAAGCCTGTATCCTGCCCGGCACTGGCAGTGGAAGGAGCCACGTGTGTTGACACAGCCTTGCTGGCAGCCACCATTCACCACCGCGCACTCGTCCACATCTGGAGAAGAAAGACAGATGATCAGAATTACAAGACAGCCTCAGCAAAAACATACCCCAGTTCTTCTGGACGGCACATAGCTCATACATAATGCAACCATTACACTCAGACTGGGTTTTTGTTTGCTTCACTTCTGTGCTGTAAACAGAGCAAAGAAAATTGAAATTTTATGGTGTTTTTCAAAGTTCCCGCAGGCACTGCCTCTGTAGTCTCTGCTTCTGAAGCCCTTGTTAATTAGAATGATCTGTGACATGGCTGTTTCCTCAGGGCCAAGAGAAAAGTACAGTGAAATAATTAGGGTAAGGTAACACATCTGAGCTCGTAGGTACCACTGGTCAAACACTTGGCTTCTTTAAAAATTTGCTGTATGAAGATTTCCCTTTGCATCACGCCTTTAATCCTTTTAGCAGGTGCTCTTGAAGGTACAGGCACATACAACTGACATAAATGGAAAATAAACAAGCAAGAAGAGAACTTGTGCTCTCAATCAACATTACATTTTCAACCACTGAATACACAGGGAGCTTAGACATTACATTTAAAAAGAATGATGATTTTGTGCCACATTTTCTGTGACTTGTTCCCCTTAGGCTTCCTTGTATTCATCTGAACTTTCCATAGCATCTTTTCAGATGACCTCTAGGAAAAATGATGTGATTTTCTGACGATATCTTTTTCCGAACCTAAGCAGGTATCTTTCCACATTTCATATTTAAGGGAATAACATTTAGTCAAATGAAGAGGGAAACTAGTATTAAAACAGCTTAAGAATGCTGCTTTAAAGCTTTATCTGAAAATGAAACACAATGATGGACAAAAAAAGATCAAGAGCATTTTAAGTAAACAGGTGAAGGTTTAAAACAGACCCACAAACCTGAATTTCCCAAAATACCAAATAAGCAGAGTCTGCACCTTTTCATCAACACTGGGCTACTGTAAGCAGCATCTGATTGGCATGCTGACACCAGTACTTTAAAAATTGACACAGAAGTCATTGGAAATAAGGGTCAGTTGGACAATTCCCTGAACAAAATTTCACCTGGCAGATGTTTGCCTAGAACTTGTATGTCTGTTCCTTAAGAGCCCGAGGAATGGCAATGCCATCTCCTTTCATCTCACCAAGGGGTGATGCCAGTACCAAATTATTCTGACCACCAAAGACATTCTTTTCTTGCTGAAGCCAAACTTCCCTCCTGCAAGAGACATGTAAAAAGAATGCCCCTTTCAACATCAAAGACTCACATTGATTTAATTGCTCTTTAGATCATGTTTTCAAATCATCTAAGGAGTTTACCCACCCAAGCACACCAAAGCAGGTGTGAGTGGGGAGATTGGGATTTGAAGAAATAAAAAAGAGTGACTGCAACAAAAGGCAAGTCTGCAATTGCTGCTGTGGGGAAGCGAGCCAGCAGTGGAGCAGAACACAGCAACACAGAGGTTCCCCCCAATATTGCACTGGAGGAACAAGGGCCTGGCTTTCATATTTTTGCTGTTGATATACCTGCTTTGCTTTTAGTCTTCATGATTTATCTTTTTTTAAATGCTTTTAAGTTTATTCCATTTTAGAAAATCTAATCAAAGTTAAATGAAACTGGAAGCTTTAAAGATGACTTAAAAAGCACAACATCTTGGTCCTAAAGAAATGTATTTATAAAGTTAAATTGTAATACTTCATATGTGAATTGCATTCACCTAAAATTAAATCCTGGTGTTGACTAGTGTTTAAATTCAGACTGTTTGCTAATGTGCACCACTTTTTAATCCTTCTGCTGTATTTGCTGTTTTATTAGACAATATACTACATATATTTCCTACTGCCTTGAGACATCTGGAATACTCCTTTTTTAACAGAAGTTTTGTTTTTTAAGATGTAAACAGTAAACAGAAAATGTTATTCATCTTTTTTGAATTCTATACTGTTGAGAACTAGTCTGCTGAAAAACGTCAGGACGAAATCAAAACCAGGAAACTATTTGTCTCGAGTATCACAGAAATAAAATAAGCAAAAAGGCTCAGAAAAATATAACAAGGAAGCAGCTGAACTATACAGCACACCACAGTCTAGTATTTATACCTCAATAAACTCAAGTACTGGGAGCTTCAATATAGTAATTTTATAAGCTACAGTCAGCTGCAGAATTAATCTAATATACCAGATACGGTTTTAAGTTATCATTTCGGCACTTAGAAAGGAGAAAAAATTAGTCCAGCTAATAAAAATGAGCACTTGGAGTTAGCTCTATTTGTTAGGCTCTATTTAAAGAAGTGACTTGGTTTACAGGGGAGCTCTGCACCCAGCAGCTCCCGCAGCCGCTGGGGCTCTTCTTTCAATGGCATTTCCCTCATGATAAGCACAGCCCAAAAGGCCATAAGGCAATTATATTGCTGAAAGGCAGTATAATTAAGTGAAAAATAAAGACCCTGAAACAGTTGTACATAAGAGCTATACCCAACCCCACCCCAAGACTCCCTGCAGCAAGTTAGGAGAAAAGCAGAGGCAAGATCAATGAACCTGCAACGTGATTCCGCAACTGTCTTGCCAGGGTGCCATGTGAACAGCAAGTTTGATAACACACGATCCCTTCTAGTTTCAGGCTTTCTCTGCAGGATCGATATTTTAAGGATTGTACGTTGGGAGATTCCTTCATGTACTACAGATATAATCATGAAAATTGCAGTGCGCAGTCGCCTTTCAATGTCTCCTACATCTCAAGGCCAGGAAAAAACTTTGCCCACAGTTACAGAAGAAAAATGCCTTAATTATCTTGTCTGGGGAGCAGTCTGCGAAGTAGACACTAATCTAAATGTTTCAATTGTGCTTGAAAGTTATGAAAATCCTGCCTATTTGGACTTTTATATTTAAATTGCTATCCTGGTAAAGGACATATATACACTAGAAAAACAACAGCTTATGCTGTTACAGGTACAGACATAGCCATTCTTTTTCTACATGGAAATAACTATAGAAATATAAAATTATGCTAGAATGATGAAGTTTTAAAAATAGAAAAAATATTATAGAAATATAAAGTCATTCTATTGTAATTCTAGAATATTATGGGATTATGGAAGATTGGCTCTACTTAACAATACATTATAATTAAATTTTGATTCATTTCCACTGCAGATCACACTGAAACACCTACATGCTCAGCTCTCTGTAGTTACAGTTTAGGCCAATTATCTGAATAACCCAAATTTCAAGCCATTTACAGCTTGAATCTCATGAATCAGACTGCAGTGAAAGCTCCTGCATTCCCCACAAAACAGAGACAGAGCAATCTGCAGCAAGAAGCGAAATCAGAACAGTGTGCCATCCCAGGCTATCTTGCAAAGAGGATTATGCTGTTGGGTGAATAGAGTCGTATGTGAATATCCTCCTTCCCACCTATGGCAGATTTCAATAGAGATGCATTTTAGTGGGATTCTCCACTGCAGGTATCTCTGCTTTCCATGTTGTCTGTAAGCAATACGTGCCCCAACTCCCGCCCAGGGATACCCACTTTTTGTCAGGAACAACTTGGTAGGAATAACATTATGGTAAGTCATACAAACCAAAAGTCAATTCTACATGTTTCCAAGATGCAAAGTATTTAGCCACCATGACTGAAGTTTTTTTAGCTCTTCATGCTTCCAAGGCCTGTGCACTTGGACTTAGGTCAGTGCATTTTACTGAACACTGCCCTTTCCTCCATCCTGACAGAATGCACATCTCATGTCTCGAACATGGGAAAAGAGGATGCAGTGTACAAATGCACAAACCACTGTCAGCACAGTGCTCCTTTTCCAAGGGCAGATCTTACCAATGAAGTTACAGATTTTTAAGTCCTCCAAATCCTTGAATAGGTTTTTGATAATCTTCAAGGAGGTTTGTCCCCCATTGACTTGATGAGCCACATTGGCAATAGTCTGTTTGCCCTGCCCCAAACCTTTTTAAACACAGAACTGTATGATTGCTTGTTTGGAATTCAGGGTCATCACATCAGTGGCTTTTTTCATATCATTACTAAAACATTTAAGAACATCTATGATCAATCAGTTCCTCAAAAATAAGCAGACAGTGGTGTTAAACACAGATAATTCGTGAACCTGAAATCATGTTTTTATAAAGGAAAAAAAGGCAAGGTGTTGCCAGATCAATTCCCTGCTAAGAAGCAGCTTAGCTTTTTAAACTATTAAGAAGTGCAAACAACACGCAAAACTAAATCCCAAAACAAGAAAAACACCAGTTCTGATGGCAGAAGGACTGAGCTTTTGCAGTATCCTCTCCATTTTTATCATCTTTCCCCTCTTTTCTGGACCTGCTGTGCAAGATAGAGTTCTGAGCAGGTGGGCTATTTTTCAGTTCCCTATTTTCACATTCTCCGCTTGCAACAGCCCAACATCACTGCAGTCAAGAGCAGGCTGCAGCCACAGCTCCCATGTCTCCAGATGGAGGGGAACTGATGTTGACAAAGGCCCTCATGCTTACACTACAAACCAGGTACCTCTTTATATCTGCTCCTAAATACCTAAAGAACCAGGACCCTCCAAAGGGACACAGAAATGCTTGTCTATTTTAACTACTGGACAACCACTTACTGCAATCCTAAATCCTCTTTGCTTTTACATCCTTTTTTTTCAAGGAACTTGTCTAGCAATTTCTGCAGTGACTGCTCCCACAATCAACGCATCATCTGCTCTCCCACAGGTCTGCATTGATGCATTCATAACCACCTGTAGATATATGCATGTATTTGAGCTCTGATGCAGGACAACTGCTACTTTGGATCTCAAAGTGCCTTCAGAAATACTGCAGAAATACTGAAAGGCAGATATGCCTTTCTTTCTAATTCAATTTATTTTTTAAAGCACTACATTCCTCACAAGATCATTATTTGCAATTTTTATCACTTTTCATGTGCCTTCCTTCTGTGCACGTGTGCAACTGTTCTGGAATTACAAGATGAAATGGTCCTCTAATATTAAGTTTACTGCACACTTTACCTGCTTGCGTATTT